ACAACCATCTGTATGAAACCCCGTTGGAGGAAGCGTGGCCTCACCTCCTTGCCCTTCTGCACAAGTGAATGGGAACGTGAGAAGAGCTGCCTCATAGCAACCACACGGGCCAATCATGGAGGAGCTACATACATACATACATACATACATACATACATACATACATACATACATACATACATACATACATACATACATACATACATACATACATACATACATACATACAGAGCCCCAACCAACCAACCTCCCCCTAGAGCGCACCTCCTTGCCATCAGCGCTGCGCATGACAACACCGTCCACCACGGGGGACTTGCGTGCCTCTGCATGCGCATAGTCCGGCCCCACCGTGTACACCTTCACATCCGTGCCCCCTGCCAGACGCATCATGATTTAACACATGATCATGGAATATTAAAGAGAATTGAGCAATGCTTTTGAGTCGAAACAAGAGTCACAGTTTGCGTGCCTCTGCATGCACATAGTCCAGCCCAACCATGTACACCTTCACATCTGTGCCATCTGCCCATCACATCATGATGCCAACCAGCATGGTGCCATCCACATCCAATTTATTGCAGTTTGATGCATGCTATGGTACATAATACATACATACAGTCAGTGGTAACCATTCATAACGCGCAATCGTAAGTGAGGGCAGAAAGTGACAAAGGTGAGGGCGGGGGCAAAGAGCGCACCTGTGGGCGGCAAAGAGCGCACCTGTGGGCGGGAAAGAGCGCACCTGTGGGGAGGAACTCCTCGTAGATGTAGGAGCCGTGGCGCCTCACATGATAAGTATTGCCTTCGCCTTCCGTTTAACACGTTGGACCAAAAGAGCGCACCTGTGGGCGGCAAAGAGCTTGCCTGTGGGGAGGAACTCCTCGTAGATGTAGGAGCCATGGCGCCTCACATGGCGCACGTCCGGATGGAACTCACTCGAGCGGTTGCCCACCTTCCAGGGGAGGCGAGAGATGGGATGGGAGGAGAGAGGTGGTGTTGATGGGGAGTGAGGTGAGGCCAAAGGAATGGAGAGATAGGGATCAGAGAACTGAACCGAGTGCTGTTTTCTTAGGCAGGGTGAGAAGAAGGGAAGGAAGAGAGTGGTGAGGTGAATTGAGTGTAACGAGGCACTGGTAGGGAAACTGGCACAGGCGCTGTTTCTGAGAATTTTCAAAAGAACGAAAAGCAGAACAACAACAACAATTGCAGCTCGCTTTGCCGCCTGTTCAATGCACAGCACCACGCAGTACCTTTCTGAAAAGCTCTTTCATGCCGCCCCCTGCGGAGCTGGGGTAGTAGATCATCACACTGTGGTCGTCACCTGGCAGTGCGAGCACACATGGAGGGCATGGGATGGGATGGGACGAGGGGAGAGGGTGCGGAGGATCGGGGATGGGAGAGCAGGGGATGAAGGGTTTGGGCGCAGACGAGCTGGCTGCCTCACGGGTACGAGATGACTTGATTTTTAAAGCAGCTGTTCTAGGGGGGGAGAAACGGTTTCTGGTGACAAGCAGCATCACGGACCCGCAGCGCACAGGCCCACCCGCCCATAAACCCACATCTCATATACGCACATCTCATAAACCCACTGCCGTCCATGCACCCACCACCACTGCCCATGCACCCACCACCACTATCCATGCACCCACCGTCCACGGGCTTCTCAACGAAGGGCTTGTTGATGCGCTTGCCCGCGATGACCACGTAGTCCTCCTCCTCCTCAAACTCCTCCTCCGCTGCCTCCCCCTCCCCCTCGCGGTTCACTATGGCGTACGTGGGCATCATGAGCCCGTGCTCCTCCAGCTTCTGGTAAGGGGGAGGGATGGGCGGGAGGGACATGTGTGCAGAGAGGGGAAGAATGTGGGCAAGCTGCTAGCGGTGCACTTGTACTCACCGCATGCACTCGCACTCACCCCACCCACTCGCACTCACCGCACCCACTCGCACTCACCGCACCCACTCGCACTCACCGCATACACCTTCCTCCTGTCGTGCAGCAGCCACTGCGGCTCCAGCTCGTTCACCAGATAGGGCCTGCCCCGCAGGAGAGGCGTGAGGGGGAGAGGAGAGATGGGAGAGGGGGAAGAGTGGGAAGGACGGGAGAGATAGGTGAGATGGGGGAGAAGGGAGAGTGGGATGGAGAGATAGGAGTAATGGGAAAAGGTACGAGTGGGACTCACATGAAATTGCAGTGGGAACGGAAGTAAATGGGTAGCATGCACAATACTGTCACCATTGTCAGTGAAGCCACTAAAGAAAAGCGTTTGCTCAAGAGGATGTGCTCATGCAGACAGGTGCACGTGGCAACTCACATGCACGTGGCAACTCACATGCACTTGTATTGCAAGCAAGGCACACGTACTTGCGAAGGGCGGCGTATTGCTGCGCCTTGGCGAGGGGGAAGCCCGTTGAGTAGAAGGCTATGAGCGCATCGCATATGGGCCACCTGGGGATGGGGGAATAAGGGGGGTGGGGGAATAAGGGGGATGGGGGAATAAGGGGGATGGGGGAATAAGGGGGGTGGGGGAATAAGGGGGATGGGGGAATAAGGGGGGTGGGGGAATAAGGGGGATGGGGGAATAAGGGGGATGGGGGAATAAGGGGGGTGGGGGAATAAGGGGGGTGGGGGAATAAGGGGGATGGGGGAATAAGGGGGGTGGGGGAATAAGGGGGATGGGGGAATAAGGGGGGTGGGGGAATAAGGGGGATGGGGGAATAAGGGGGGTGGGGGAATAAGGGGGATGGGGGAATAAGGGGGATGGGGGAATAAGGGGGGTGGGGGAATAAGGGGGGTGGGGGAATAAGGGGGATGGGGGAATAAGGGGGGTGGGGGAATAAGGGGGATGGGGGAATAAGGGGGGTGGGGGAATAAGGGGGATGGGGGAATAAGGGGGATGGGGGAATAAGGGGGGTGGGGGAATAAGGGGGATGGGGGAATAAGGGGGGTGGGGGAATAAGGGGGATGGGGGAATAAGGGGGATGGGGGAATAAGGGGTGGGGGAATAAGGGGGATGGGGGAATAAGGGGGGTGGGGGAATAAGGGGGGTGGGGGAATAACGGGGATGGGGGAATAAGGGGGGTGGGGGAATAAGGGGGATGGGGGAATAAGGGGGATGGGGGAATAAGGGGGGTGGGGGAATAAGGGGGATGGGGGAATAAGGGGGGTGGGGGAATAAGGGGGATGGGGGAATAAGGGGGATGGGGGAATAAGGGGGGTGGGGGAATAAGGGGGGTGGGGGAATAAGGGGGATGGGGGAATAAGGGGGGTGGGGGAATAAGGGGGGTGGGGGAATAAGGGGGATGGGGGAATAAGGGGGGTGGGGGAATAAGGGGGATGGGGGAATAAGGGGGATGGGGGAATAAGGGGGGTGGGGGAATAAGGGGGATGGGGGAATAAGGGGGATGGGGGGTTATAGGTGTTAAAAGGGAAATGAGGGAAAATGGTGGGACATGAATGGGTGCCTTGTGCGAGAGGGAAGGGCGAGTAGAAAGAGATTAGCACATCGCATCGCATCGCATCGCATCGCATCGCATCGCATCTGGGCCACCTGGGGGGTGTGCAGGGGACGCATGGGGGAAGGCATGGTGGGACGCATGGGGGGAGGCAAGGGCGGAGTGGGGGCATGGAGGGTGGCATGGGGAGGAGCATGGGGACCAACGCAGTGGGGCTAGGAGGCATGCAGTGGGGCGAGGAGGCATGCAGTGGGGCGAGAAGGCATGTAATGCGGTGGAGAGGCGTGCAGTGGGGCGGGGGGCATGGCTCACTTCTCGATGGGGTCGTGGAGGATCATGCGGTCTTCAAAAATAATCACCTGGTGCCAGACACATGGAAGCATGATGGAGAAGGAACAGATGGGGAAGGAACAGATGGAATCTGAATGCACGCAGGAAGGGGTGTGCAGTAGCGAGAGGAACCAAGTGCAACCACACCAGACCAGACCAGACCAGACCAGACCAGACCGTGGAAAACAAAAAGAAAAGCAATTCTGTCTCTCCCTTCATTCTCCCCGTACACTTCTTCCTCATCTCACCTCCCCCACGACTCACCTCCACCTCGCTTCACCTCTCTAGATCTCACCTCCACCGTGCCTCACCTACCCAGATATCACCTTCACCTCACCTCCTCCCCCAGATCTCACCTCCACCTCGCCGAACATGCGCAGGCGGTCAAGAATGGCCGTCATGGGGGACGAGCGCGACTGCAGGGGGGATGGCGGAGAGGGGTTGGCGGAAAGAAGGGGGGAAATAGTGGGGGCAGGAAGCGGCAGGTCGACTAACGGGCCCAGGCGATCAAGAATGGCCGCCATGAGGGACGACCTACTACAGAAGGGGTGGCGGAAGTGGGGTGACAGAAGAGGGGTGGCGGAATGGGGTGGCGGAAGGGGTGGCGGAAGGAAGGGGGGAAGTGGGGCAAGAGGTGGCCCATGGGAGACGATCGCGACTGCAAACGGTGGCGGAAAGGGGGATGGCGGAAGGGGGGTGGCGGAAGGGGGATGATGGAAAGGGAATGGCGGAAGAGGTTGGCGGGAAAGGTATGATGGAAGGGGGATAACTGAGCGAGGGGCGGAGCAAAGGGGGCAGGAGCCGGCAGGCAGGTCGACGAGCGTCCCAAGCCATGGAACGTGTATTAAAATACCGTCACGAACTTCTGCCTCTCACCGTCACGCACTTCTGCCTCCAATCGCCCCTCTCTCCCCCGTCTGCCCACCTTTTTCTCCATTACACACACGCCCAGCGTCAGCTTTTTCTTCTCCACCGGGTCGCTCGCGAGGCTCTCGAACGCGCCGCCGCCCGAGTGCCCCACGCGGATGGACGGCAGCACGACATCCTCCATCGCCGCTGCTGCGCGCACGACAAACCGAGACTGCCGCGACCCCTATTTACCGCTACAACTGCTGCGATCCGTATTGATCGCTAAAACTGTCGTGACCTTGATTGAACGCTTGACGAGTACGATCGTCACGGGCCGTGCGAACCCTGTCAAGCGTTACCCCCGTCGCGACCGTTTATGACCGTTATTGATCGTTATAGCCGTCCGACCCTCGTGCGTCAACCCAAGGGGCCGTCGATGGCTCAATAAACTCGGATCCGGATCTTCGGATCTCACACGCGAGGCAGGCAGTACCTCAAAGTCTGTAATAATGTTGTCAGGCGCACGCATCTGTGGATCCTTGGGAATGCCGCAATTGGTACTAAATGAGGTGGACTAATGGACGGCTGCCGCGAGGCCGATTCGAAATGGAAGTGAGTGGACGGTGACGGCAGCGAAGAGACGAGTCGAGATTCCTAAGTTATAGATTCCTTGCATATTCCTTGCTGTTGGACAAGTCCTAGGGGGGCGTGTTCATGCGAACATAATTCATTGGCGGAACACACATCAGGTCAGACCCCGTACACCGTGTTTGTCAGGTTCAGACAGTCTGGCCCCTTCGTGAACAGATCGATGTTGATCGAAAAGAGTTGTGGCACATTCCCCAACCATGCTCGAGCTAGACGAAATCATTGGCGATGCTGCCAGGTGTAACAGACAGCCAGGGCCGTTTCTGGGGTCGCGCAAAAGAAAACCGAAAACCTCACGCCATCAGGTGTACACGGCCTTTCAACGTCCCAAAATGCATCAGGTGTATATGGGCGTTTTCTGAAAACCTCTAAGAAATTTTTCAGCATTCCTTATCGCGTTCTTCAACAACGCGTACCGCAGCAGCCGTTGTTCGCCTTTGCCAACTTCGCGCCACTGTTTTACCAAACCATGCACCGCTGGCCTGGCCAAGTCGGCCTACGCTTCGGGACTAGCCTGAACCTCGATGCCAGCGTAGTACTAGCTAGCTCGCACGCACCGCGTTACCATTTGCATGTTTCGCGTATAAGTATTCACTTATGCCTTCGCTCATACTGGGGAGCAGCAGATAGGGGAGGGGCAGATAGGGGAGGAGCAGATTGGGGAGCAGCAGACAGGGTAGCCGCAGACAGGGGAGCAGGAGATGTGGGGAATTAGAGATGGTGGTCGTGTGCTGGTGTCTGGGACGATCACTGCACCGCCGCTGCGTCGCTCCACTCGCATCACTCGTGGTGTCCAGCCAGTTAAGTATGCTTGGGCAGTAGTGATTGAGCCGGCAGGTTTGGATGACGAGGAGTGGACGGACCTGGACCCAGATGTGGTGGCCGACCCTGAGAGGCAGTGGGATATAGCTAAGATGAATTTCATTCAAATGTTCCTCTTACTAAACATTCTATGTCGAATTAGGGGTGTCGAAAGTGCGTTTTTTGCAACCATCCCAACTCTTAGAACGACCCCACTCTATGGTTCCAAGCCTCTCCAAGCCCATTCAGAAATACTTTCGAGACCCACCCCAAATCAATGGGGGCTTCACAGCGTTCCTCCATGGCGTGCTGGACCGAGACCTTTACATGGAGCAGCCGAGCTACTACGAGGATGGGAGTCCTCGTGTCTGTAAGTTGGTGAAGAGTCTGTATGGGCTCAAGCAGAGCCCAATGTTGTGGTATGAGGCCTTGGATGGGGTGCTAAAAGGGGCTGGATGGAAGAAGAGCCGAGTGGATGAGGCTCTCTACTTCAAGAGTGATGCTGAGGGGGAGATGTGCTGGCTGCTAGTGTATGTGGATGATTTGCTTGCTGCCAGTCGCAGTCAGAGCATGCTAGGGAAGCTGCGTGACCTGCTGCAGAGTGCCTTTCAGCTGCGGGAGATTAGCCCTGTGGAGAAGTATCTGTGGTTGCAGCTGGTTCGGGACAGGCCTACAAGGAGGCTGTGGCTGCACCAGGGGGCCTATGTGGACAAGGTCCATAGGCGCTTCTTTGACGGGGAGCAGCCGGTGCGAGTGCCTCGCACCCCTCTTTCCTCTGACCCTTTCAGTGTGCAGACCTTCGAGGATGTGGGATGGCAGTCTCGCCAGGAGGAGGAGTACAGGCAGAAGGTGGGATCCTTGCAGTTCGCGGCCTATACCACCCGTCCCGACATCTCGTTCGCCTACAGCAAGTTGGGGTCGGGCCAGACTGTGCGGAGTGATCAGCACTGGAAGGAGTTGGACCGGTGCTTGGCATACTTGGTGGGGAGCAGGGATGTGGCGCTGGAGTTTGGTGGTGGGCCGGAGTCCTTGGAGCTGGTGGGCTACGCCGATGCTGATGATGCAGGGGACAAGCAAAACAGGACCAGCACTGG